TCAAGCCAGCACCACGCGTGCACGTAAGGAAGCTTCAGCGAAGCTTCCTTTGCTGCATGTTTTGCCTCTGAACGAACTTGTAGAACGTTTGCAAGCTCTTACACGCAGCGTGCCAGAACTGTCGGAAGGTTCCTGCGTTAACTCTGCGCTAACTGATGCTACACATCCGCACGCGTGCACGCAATGAAGCTTCACCGAAACTTCCTTTGCTGCATGCCTTGCCTCTGAATGTACTTATAGAACGTTTGCAAGCGTTTACACGCAGCGTACCAAAATGAAGTGAAAGCTTCTGCGCTGACTCATGCTACACGTTAACTCACCCTGCAAGGGAACCCCACAACCGCCCCAGCCGAAGACCCGACTTTATGCATGCATTAGCATTCTATACAGTCGTTAAACGCTTAGTTTTTCGTCAGTGGGCCTCTCGTACGTAAGCAGAAATACACGTACCACCGGCGGGAAGTGGGGAGTCGCAGACGGAGGTGAATACTGAGGAACGGAGCAAGTTATTTTGCTCTCGTAGCGACTAAAATTCAAGCAAGTGATTTTGAAACTCTTAAACGGGGGGATTCCTTGGATCTACACCTTCCGGGACCCCTAGCGCGGGAGTCGTCAGAGGCTCTGATCGCGTCGTGAGCTGGAAGCCAAAGATATGCAGCACTCGAGAACGCACGAGTTTCGAGTCTAAGAACAAATCCTGTCAAATTACTTCTTGTTTGTAATGGCCATCAGCACTTGTGTTCTCTGTCAATAGCTTCTGAGTAAGAATTTCGTGGGACCCACACAAGCTACATCGCCAGGTTGCAGGTTGGCTCTTCGGTTGCCCCCTTCCTCCCTTATCATCCTCTGTTCATTTTTGCGGAGTCTTCCACTTGAAAAATAGCAGTATCTTTGCCCGATCTGCTCCCGAACGGTTCATTTATTCTCGAAATGTATTGGGGGTTCTCAGCAAATCGACCTCCCAACAAGCGAGCTGCCTAGGACGTGTAAAGTGGCATCTACTCGTTCGTGGGTTTGCTGCGTTGGGTGCTCGTCCGGGTGACTGGCGTCATTGTGAGGATGAAGAGCAAAAAGCAGTTGTCTAAGCTGCCTGGCTTACGCAGGTGTTTCTGGTTGTTTGTGGCGCTCTGGCTTGTAGAGCAGCAGAATGTGTACTCATCAGGGGCATCAGGAAAAAAGGCCGCCGAGGATGATGCAGACTTGGAATCCACTAAAGGAGTTGCGGGCGATACGATGGCTAGATTACATGCAGAACTGGTTGCCC